GCTTAGTAGTGTAAAAAATTTATGGGTTAGATAAAAGTTTGCTTAGCAGACATGAAAAATATTTGCTTATTGACCTTAGTAAATTTTGAATTTTTTATCTGACCTATATATATATTGTTCAGGGTCCTGTTCAAGCAGTATTAACCCAATTGGAAAGTGAAATTTCTAAGGTAAAATTATTATTTAACTTATTTATTATTTTATAAATTCTTTTTTTAATACTAATAAAATCATTATATCTTACAGCTTAGAGATCTTGTTAATAGAATTCGAGCATCTTCTTTGCGTCGTGAAAAATTAAAAATGGCATGTAAAAATAATTAATTAAAGGATTTAACACTTATACCTGACGTACTCACGAGATGGAATTCCACTTACGAAATGATTTCAAGATCATTACAATTAAAAATTGTAAGTTGATTTTTGTAAATATTAAGTTTTTAATAATTTCAATAATTCAATTATTTATTAATTTTAATTATATAATTAAGCCATTGATTCTGTTACACTTAATGATCATGATCTTAAAAAATATTTACTTACAGAGAATCAATAGACTGAACTTGAAAAAATTAAGGATTTTTTATTTTTATTTAAAGAAGTAACAACTATAATGTCTGAATTTACTTATCCAACACTTTCTGCTACTATTCCTTTATATAATATTCTTATTGATCATGTTGAAAATGTTATTGGAGATGAAAATGAGAAAGTTATTGAAGATGTAGATAATGATGAATCTGAAGCTAATAGTGGCAACAACAATGAGAATGAATGGAGTCAAATTATAAAAAATGCTGCGAAAATATGCAGATTAAAATTGTTGGAGTATTACAACAAGACAAATTATTCATATTTAATTTCTACTATTTTGGATCTAAGATTGAAATTACAATATTACAAGGATAATGAATGGGGAGATGAATTAATAAATGATATTCAATAAAAATTAGTATTTTACTAATTATTTATATTATTTACAATGATTATATATACTAATTTTATAATTTTATTAAATTTTTAGGTTTTTAAGTATATATAATAAATCATATGCTGTTTCTATTCAATCTGATCAAACTGAAACTCCTAATAAAGAAAAGTCAGTAATGTCCCGTGTATTTAAACATCATTGTGTGGAAAGTTCTGCTGATGAATACCAAATATATCTTTCTTTACCCCAGCTTGATGGAAATGAAGATCCATTTGAATGGTGGAAAAATAATGAGCAACAATTTCCAAGCCTTGCTAAAATGGCACGTGATTTTTTATCAATCCCAGCCACAAGTGTACCTTCTGAACAAGTTTTTTCATCAGAAAAAAATTTGATTACTGATAAAAGAAACTGGTTGGTTGGAAAAACTATAAGAATGTGTTTATGTTTAAGGTCGTGGTGGTTATTATCATTGTTTAACAGTAGTTAGTTTAATAATTTTAATATTTCTTATTTTATCTTTGATAATATCTCTATTATTATAAATAGGTTTAATTTATTTGTAAATAGATTTAATTATAAATAAAGTTTAAATGAAACATAATGTGTAAAGTCAAGCAGAGATAACAATTTTTTATATTATTAAATATGTATAGTAAATGAATTCGATTTTAACTTGACTTGTTAATTGACCATTAATTAAATTAAAAGATTAAATTAGAATTTTATGAAAAAACGCTGATTCAGTACTTTTTTGATAAAAAAAATGAAAAAGACGCCAAAAAATGGCATATTTTTTTATAAAATGATATGAAAAGATGCCGAAATAGCATCTTTTTTGATAAAAAAAATGAAAAAGATGCGAAACAGCATCTTTTTTCATGAAATAATACGAAAAGATGCTGAAATAGCATCTTTTTTAATAAAAAAAATGAAAAGATGTGAAACGGCATCTTTTTTCATAAAATAATACGAAAAGATGCCGAAACAGCATCTTTTTTAATAAAAAATGAAAAGATGCAAAACGCATCTTTTTTCATAAAATAATATGAAAAGATGCTGAAACAGCATTTCTTTTCATGAAATAATACGAAATGATGCCGTTTCAGCATCTTTTTCATAAAATAATATGAAAAGATGCCGAACGGCATCTCTTTTCATGAAATAATACGAAAAGATGCCATTTCAGCATCTATTTTCATAAAATAATACGAAAAAATGTTGTTTTGCATCTATTTTCATAAAATAATACGAAAAGATGCTGTTTCAGCATTTTTTTAGAAAAAAAATGCTGTTTTGGCATTTTTTTCATAAAATAATACGAAAAGATGCCGAACGGCATCTCTTTTCATGAAATAATACGAAAAGATGCCATTTTGGCATCTTTTTTGATAAAAAAATGAAAGAGATGCTGTTTTGGCATTTTTTTCATAAAATAATACAAAAAGATGCCATTTCGACATCTATTTTTATAAAATAATACAAAAAGATGCTATTTCGGCATCTATTTTTATAAAATAATACAAAAAGATGCTATTTTGGCATCTATTTTTATAAAATAATATAAAAAAGATGCCGAAATAGCATCTCTTTTCATGAAATAATACGAAAAGATGCCATTTCAGCATCTTTTTCATAAGATAATATAAAAAGATGCCGAACGGCATCTCTTTTCATGAAACAATATGAAAAGATGCTGTTTTGGCATCTTTTTTGATAAAAAAAAAATGAAAAAGATGCTGTTTCAACATTTTTTTGTATAAAATAATATGAAAAGATGCCAAAATATCATTTTTTTCATAATATAACACCGTTTAACATTTTTATTTGTACATTAACAAAAAAACGCTTTTCCCAATAGTTTTTAACCGTGTTAGTAAAAAAAGTAGCGAAAAGATTTTTATTTAATAAAAAAACGTCTTTCGCAACATTTTTTAACTGTATTAATGAGAAACGTTGCAAAACGTTTTTATTTTATAATTTAATGAAAAAAAACATTTTTTGCAGCAATTTTAACTATATTAATAAAAACATTGCGAAAACGTTTTTTATTTGATAATTTACTGATAAAAAATCATTTTCGCAATAGTTTTTAACTGTATTAATAAAAAAGTTGTGAAAAACATTTTTTATTTGATAATTTGCCAATAAAAAGTCATTTTGCAACGTCTTATAACTATATTAAAAAAAACGTTATAAAAGACTTTTTTATTTGATTTATTTATGAAAACTGATCTGGATCCGGATCAGATCTGAATCAGATCAGATCAAATCAGTTAGGATTCGAATTGGATTGAATCAAATCTAATTTGGATTCGAATTGGATCAGATCGAATCTGATTCAGATCTGAATCAGATCAGATCAAATCAGTTAGGATTCGAATTGGATTGAATCAAATCTAATTTGGATTCGAATTGGATCAGATCGAATCTGATTCAGATCTGAATCAGATCAGATCAAATCAGTTAGGATTCGAATTGGATTGAATCAAATCTAATTTGGATTCGAATTGGATCAGATCGAATCTGATTCAGATCTGAATCAGATCAGATCAAATCAGTTAGGATTCGAATTGGATTGAATCAAATCTAATTTGGATTCGAATTGGATCAGATCGAATCTGATTCAGATCTGAATCAGATCAGATCAAATCAGTTAGGATTCGAATTGGATTGAATCAAATCTAATTTGGATTCGAATTGGATCAGATCGAATCTGATTCAGATCTGAATCAGATCAGATCAAATCAGTTAGGATTCGAATTGGATTGAATCAAATCTAATTTGGATTCGAATTGGATCAGATCGAATCTGATTCAGATCTGAATCAGATCAGATCAAATCAGTTAGGATTCGAATTGGATTGAATCAAATCTAATTTGGATTCGAATTGGATCAGATCGAATCTGATTCAGATCTGAATCAGATCAGATCAAATCAGTTAGGATTCGAATTGGATTGAATCAAATCTAATTTGGATTCGAATTGGATCAGATCGAATCTGATTCAGATCTGAATCAGATCAGATCAAATCAGTTAGGATTCGAATTGGATTGAATCAAATCTAATTTGGATTCGAATTGGATCAGATCGAATCTGATTCAGATCTGAATCAGATCAGATCAAATCAGTTAGGATTCGAATTGGATTGAATCAAATCTAATTTGGATTCGAATTGGATCAGATCGAATCTGATTCAGATCTGAATCAGATCAGATCAAATCAGTTAGGATTCGAATTGGATTGAATCAAATCTAATTTGGATTCGAATTGGATCAGATCGAATCTGATTCAGATCTGAATCAGATCAGATCAAATCAGTTAGGATTCGAATTGGATTGAATCAAATCTAATTTGGATTCGAATTGGATCAGATCGAATCTGATTCAGATCTGAATCAGATCAGATCAAATCAGTTAGGATTCGAATTGGATTGAATCAAATCTAATTTGGATTCGAATTGGATCAGATCGAATCTGATTCAGATCTGAATCAGATCAGATCAAATCAGTTAGGATTCGAATTGGATTGAATCAAATCTAATTTGGATTCGAATTGGATCAGATCGAATCTGATTCAGATCTGAATCAGATCAGATCAAATCAGTTAGGATTCGAATTGGATTGAATCAAATCTAATTTGGATTCGAATTGGATCAGATCGAATCTGATTCAGATCTGAATCAGATCAGATCAAATCAGTTAGGATTCGAATTGGATTGAATCAAATCTAATTTGGATTCGAATTGGATCAGATCGAATCTGATTCAGATCTGAATCAGATCAGATCAAATCAGTTAGGATTCGAATTGGATTGAATCAAATCTAATTTGGATTCGAATTGGATCAGATCGAATCTGATTCAGATCTGAATCAGATCAGATCAAATCAGTTAGGATTCGAATTGGATTGAATCAAATCTAATTTGGATTCGAATTGGATCAGATCGAATCTGATTCAGATCTGAATCAGATCAGATCAAATCAGTTAGGATTCGAATTGGATTGAATCAAATCTAATTTGGATTCGAATTGGATCAGATCGAATCTGATTCAGATCTGAATCAGATCAGATCAAATCAGTTAGGATTCGAATTGGATTGAATCAAATCTAATTTGGATTCGAATTGGATCAGATCGAATCTGATTCAGATCTGAATCAGATCAGATCAAATCAGTTAGGATTCGAATTGGATTGAATCAAATCTAATTTGGATTCGAATTGGATCAGATCGAATCTGATTCAGATCTGAATCAGATCAGATCAAATCAGTTAGGATTCGAATTGGATTGAATCAAATCTAATTTGGATTCGAATTGGATCAGATCGAATCTGATTCAGATCTGAATCAGATCAGATCAAATCAGTTAGGATTCGAATTGGATTGAATCAAATCTAATTTGGATTCGAATTGGATCAGATCGAATCTGATTCAGATCTGAATCAGATCAGATCAAATCAGTTAGGATTCGAATTGGATTGAATCAAATCTAATTTGGATTCGAATTGGATCAGATCGAATCTGATTCAGATCTGAATCAGATCAGATCAAATCAGTTAGGATTCGAATTGGATTGAATCAAATCTAATTTGGATTCGAATTGGATCAGATCGAATCTGATTCAGATCTGAATCAGATCAGATCAAATCAGTTAGGATTCGAATTGGATTGAATCAAATCTAATTTGGATTCGAATTGGATCAGATCGAATCTGATTCAGATCTGAATCAGATCAGATCAAATCAGTTAGGATTCGAATTGGATTGAATCAAATCTAATTTGGATTCGAATTGGATCAGATCGAATCTGATTCAGATCTGAATCAGATCAGATCAAATCAGTTAGGATTCGAATTGGATTGAATCAAATCTAATTTGGATTCGAATTGGATCAGATCGAATCTGATTCAGATCTGAATCAGATCAGATCAAATCAGTTAGGATTCGAATTGGATTGAATCAAATCTAATTTGGATTCGAATTGGATCAGATCGAATCTGATTCAGATCTGAATCAGATCAGATTGAATCTGATTTTATTTGATTCGAATTCAGATCAGATCAGATTTGACTAAAATCTGGTCTGATCTGATCCGTTCAGAATACTAAGCGTGGATACCGAATCCCAAAGATAAGTTTTGAAAAAAGAATTTCAAAACTTTCTTTAATAAAAACGTTTTTATACTAAAAACGTTTTTTTTTTATTATTTTTATATAGAAATATCAGTTCCAGCGTGGATACCGAATCCCAAAGTTAAGTTTTAAAAATTTTTGAAACTTTAATATAAAAACGTTAATTTTTAACATTTTTTTAATTTTTTGTAAGGATATCGGTTCCAGCGTGGATACCGAATCCCAAAGTTAAGTTTTAAAAAAAAAATTTGAAACTTTATAAAAAAAACGTTTATAACATTTTTTTGTTTTTTTATATAAGAATTTGGCTCCAACGTAAATGCTGATATTTTAGGTAAGTTTTGAAACAAATGTTTCAAAACTTTTTTAAAAACGTTTTTTAATAAAAAAAAATGTTTTTTTTTTATATTTTTTATAATAGGAAATCAGTTTCAGCGTGGATACTAATATTCCAGGTAAGTTTTGAAACAAATGTTTCGAAACTTTTTTTAAAATATTTTTTAATAAAAAAACATTTTTTTTTTATACTCACAGGTCAAAATATAATAAATCGGCCACCAATCGGTCATATAACTGATTGGTAACTGATTAGTTACTGATTCTTTTAATCAGTTACCAATCAGTCATCAATCAGGTGTTAATTCCAATCGGTTACCAATCAGTTATATGACGATTAGTAGCTGACTGATGACTAATTGTCAATCATTAACCAATCAGGCATCATTGGGTCATCACCTACAGGTCGAATTTATTAGGCCTGTTCAATTCCATTCAGTTGGATTTTTCTTTAATTTTTTTTCGAACTACGTAATTTTACATATAAAGCACCGGAACCATCAGTTTTCAGCGATTTTACATATAAAAACACCGGAACTATTAGTTTTGGCATTTTTTTTTGTAATTTTACATTTAAAAAATGCCAAAACTAATAGTTTCGGCATATTTATTTAACCAAATGACCGATTAATGACTGTTTTGTCAATCAGTCATCAGCCAGTATGTGACCGATTGATGGCAGGATATAAAAATGTCATCAATCGGCGTTCGTTTTAATACATTATAAAATTAAGGTCAATCACCACCTATCATGCATATGCCGGTTGGTGACTAATTGGTAGCCGGAAGAATAGAATACTAAAAGCCGTGGTCTGTTGCCTCTTGTTATCTGAAATTATTACTCAGGACAATTTTTTTCTTAATGTGCCGGTTTGTGTATAGTCGATCAACTTTACTTGTACAACTGAATAGGTTTGGCTGAATTATATAAATTATTATAAATTTCACTACCGATTGAAATTTTTTTTTTTTTTGGTAAACGTATTTTATTAATTTTATTAAATCTCTCCATACCAAAACTTTAAAACTCAATTTAAAGTAATCACGTAAAATTCTTCTAAATCTATTTTTATTAAATCTTTGATTTTTTTATTATTTTTTTTTTGTTTTCTAATTTTTCTAATTCTACCTCGCTTGTGTCTGTCCCATTTTTAGATCTTTTCTTTTTCCTTTTCAAATCCTTGAAGATTCCCATTTGTTTTTCCAATTCAATCGTCTCATTACATCTTTCAGTCCATATTTGTTTTTGTAATCTTATCAAATATTCGTCACAAATTTCTCGCATTAATATTATTAGCACAACAATTCATCCACTTCTCATTTATAAGTCCTCTAGTCAATTCTCTAATAACACCTTCCGTAACCATAATATTTGACCTCGTCGATGCCACTTCTAAAATTTTGTCAATGAAACCACTCCTAATCTTATCTTTGTTAATACTTCACTGGTACTTTCTTTTAATAAATAAAATTCTGTATTAGTATCATTTTTGGAACACGACCAAACATGATCCCACGTTTCTTTTTCGATCTTGCATCTTGGACACTTCATGTTTAGAATTCCCCATACTTCTCTTTCCAAAGTGTTTCATACGTCGGTAATATTTTTAGAAAATTTTTAATGCGCCAGCATCTAATTGA